CACTGACCGTTTTAAGAAGGCAGTGCCATTCACATATCCGGCAACATTCATGAATTGGTCCCTATGGGCCTCAACTACCAGCATGATCTCCATCACAGCCAATCAAGTCCAATCAGCAACATTCTCTGCTTAATTAACGAGCTGTGTGAGGTCAGTGGTGGGTGGCAGGTATGACTATGAATTCATAACAACACGGCTCTGCTTGTGTAGAAATGTTCAAAACTATATCATTTTCTATGTAAATGCCCTCTCTCTGAGTAAGAGCAAAATATCGATAAGCAATACATCTCAACTGCTCTTGCTTTAGGACATCAAGTTGAGGAATTCAACAAAATGTCCTAAAAAAATAAAATCAAATAATATTAATATTAACATGCACTGCACTGGCCCAGCAACATGCAAATTTAACATCGAATAGACTGAACAGAAAAAAACAAATGTGGTTTCTTAAAAGTCTCTTTAATGTTGATAATTTCATGCTTTTGGCATAAAATAAGGCTATTTTTGCTGCTATATTAACTATAATCAATAACATAGTGTTATTATTAGGGATGGGCGATATCTTATCGTTTGCGATATACCGGTAAAAATTCTCCACACGATAAGAATTCGTCTTCTCGTGATAATAACGATAAAGTCTAGTTGTTGACATATTTCTGTGTACGACTGTGTGGAGTGACGTGAGATATATTTTAAAGCCCATATCGCCCATCCCTAGTTATTATATGTATTTAGTATTGTTTTTTCTGCTGTCTGTGACCAATTAGAACAGACTCGAACCCATCTTTGGGTCTCGACTAACCAGTTGAGAACCAATGAACAAGAGAACTAAAGCAGTAGAAGTTTTTAATTATGGCTAGGGCTGCTCATTATGAAAATCACCACGTTTATGACACATCTCAGCATGGAAATGGTTTCAAACAGCCCTGAAACACTGAGAGCTTCATAACCGTCTGAAGTTCTTACATAAATATGACATCATCTAAGGGCCAGTGTCAGATTTTAGCAGGACTTTTCAAGAAAACGAACACAGTCTACCTGCGGGACAGGAGTTTCAGTGATAAACTTTGTTCTGAAGCATCTCATGATGAAGCCTCAGAGGTTTGAGTTCGAGATCTCGAGAGGCAATCACAACTTTGTAAACAATATTTATGTCCTTCATTGGATTTTTTTTGATGGCGTACCTCTCAAAGTGAATTCTCTCCTCAGAAGCTCTTCAGACGCAAGAGCAGACCACACAAGAGACACAATTACGGAGATGAAATTAAGTTTCAGCACAGATATGAAGAAATCAAAGCGACCCAAACTTTCTCTTGGAAAGCTGTGACAAGACCGCATCTGCTCTACTTCCTTCCTGGAGATGCAGGTCAAGGCGACCTGTGAGTGTTTGTGTATGACTGAACAACACACACAACCTCGTATGAACTACAGTTCATCACTCAAAAACAAGAGGATTAGAAGATACTAGAATATTATAAAAAGAGAGAAAATACTATAATACTATATCGATAGAACGATAGATAGAACGATAGATAGATAGAATGATAGAACGATAGATAGATAGATAGATAGATAGAATGATAGAAAGACAGATAGACAGATAGATAGATAGATAGATAGATAGATGGATAGATGGATAGATAGATAGACATCTTCAATATGACACAATAACGTGCACTGTTGGTCATAAATAAGGAAAACCAGCAAAATAATTTCAGTGTCACAGGAAAAAAAATAAATAAATAATGCAGAGAAAAGCATTTATGCGTGGTAAATATTCTCCAGTTAGCCCCTGGATATACATAAAATGACTCTGAAATAACTCCGCTTTTTAAATAATGTCACGACCGCAGGGCAAAAACCAAAACAACAACCTCACCCTCATGAGAGATTTACAGGCCATTAAAGCCCAGCAGAACAATACGCAGGAAGCACGAGTGTGTGTGAGATCTGCTGGAGAGTTTACACAGACCCACGACACAGAATGTGTGTCTGTGAACTACGGTTGGGTATCGTTTGGGGTTTTTTCGATACCGGTGCCAAATCGATACTTTTAAAACAGTTCCGGTGCCTGAACCGATACTTATTAAAAAAAAATAAAAAATCCCCCCAAAAATGATGGATTAGCCATTAGAATAGAAATAGAATAGAGAGTGCAAATGTTAGAGGGTCAAGTTTTTTAATTAAAAAAAACAAGCAGA